CCTCTACGTATTTTTGATATTTAATATTTTATTGTTTTTCCATTATGGAGTACTACATTGATGACAATGTGTCAGAGGGAAATAATAAGAAATTAGTGCAATGGGGGAAATGTATTGATGTTAACAAAGAGAGTTTTTTTCTAAATCTGAAATGTCTTTTATTGCTCATTGATGTAGCAGCTCATGCCCAACAGATCAACAGGGACATGTTTGGCTCTACTCAGCAATCCTGTGTAAATCAGCCGATTTGCAGCAAGATAGTTGGATATGTAAGGAGGCTCTCCCATCAGGTAAAGGACTGATCAATCACTTGATCAGCAGCAGAAAAAACTAAGCCGAGAGGTCCTAGATAGAGGTCCTTTATCTTCAGCCAAGCTGGGAATCAAATATGAATTCTCAAAAGCCTCAAACCAATATTTGCAGCCTTTGACATACAATTTTGAAACAATCTTCAATCTATAATAGATATATTTTTAGTTTGGGCAGCAGAAATAATCAAATTGTATCACATTTAATTCGAAATAGCTCACCGTAGCACTCATTTACATATCTAGCAGTTATGGAGGAACATTTAGAGTTCACTTTCTTTTTACTCTGTTTTTAGTCTCCATCTACAGGGAAATCTCTGAGGGATATCTTTGTCTCTTTATCAGCTAAATACTCTGTTCATTAGTTAGGTGGGTGTAGATGTAAAGGAATTTTAATTTTGGAGCATTCTCCATACTATATGGTGGGTTTTTATGGCTTTTAAGATAAAAAAAGCTTATTACAAGACCTAAAATCAACAGTGGGAGCAGTGGGGAGTGACCACAAATGTACATTTACAGACTTACAGCTTCACAATGAGCCAAAAGTAAATATAAAGCTCTATAAAGCAGCTTAGAGCTGCATATTTGGGTGATGATTGACTGTAAGTTCATCACTACAACCTCATTTACATTTTTATAATGTATTTTGTATACATTCTTACTATAAAATATCTGTAATGATGGATTTAACAAATGAATGCACGTTGCACAATTGAAAACATTTATGCTTCATCCACAGTGGATTCGTATGGTTCCTCAAAGGGATTACTGACAAATGTATTGATTAAACTGACTAACATCACTGAACTCAAAAATATTTATGCTTCTTCACAGGCAACTTTGCTTTCAAATATTGGATGAAGCTTCAATATTGGAATGCATCTGTCCAGTCAAAATAAATGAGTACTCATATCAGCAAACCATAAATCTACAACAGCTAGCAATGGTAATGGATGCTGCTTTGTTTATGAGGGCGGACAAGCTAACATTGTCAATATACTGAATCAGGAAGCTGTGAAAGAGAGACAATGTCCACAGGAGGCCATAGTTGATGTAGATTGCACTAGTTAGCCGACAGTGGGGAATTGGCTGGGAAGAGAGTACGCCGACATTATAAACACGTTTAGAGGAAGGCTTTAATAAGTCGTTCCTTGGGGCTACTTTCTGCTCCTTAATTGTTATTGAATTAGGAATGTTACTGAGCTAATTAAAAGTGCAAGGTATTTATTGTGACAGGAGAAGAATGTGAGGGAGCAAAGGGAAACATGGAAACAGAAAAGGAGAGGGAATAAGTTCTAACTGTGTCCCTGGTATACTTGGCTAAAATTCTGATGCACAGGACTAAAAAAAATCCAGCTGGCCAAAGAGCCCTGCCTCTGGAGCCTTATTTCCCTACAATTTTAAAATATAAAAATAAAATATACTGTAAGACTAGGACAAGTAATAAGGTTGTTTAGGGCTCACATAAGAGGTGGTGTTCTGCCTGGTTATACTGGAACTGCTAGTTATGCCTCTTTGCACATCTGATTTGTTCAATGTTATGGAGGAAATTGGAGAAAATTAGTGCCATATTGTTTCCACTATGCCTTTCTGTTGAAAATGTGCATATGGACATTAATGACTCACAAGGACTGAAATGACTTTTATTCATGTAATGAATAATGAATACAGCCAGAAACCCTCTGCTCTAGAATGCTTCTTAGTTTATCTGTTAAAAAAAAAGAACTTAAATGTACACAATAGCTTATCGCTCACAAATGAAAGAGTTGTAATAATGTTAGCACAATTTAAACTTTTTAATTTCATCAGACAGTGAGGCCTTACGCTCAATTGGCATAAAATAAAACATGGGCGGGAACCATCCGAGCAGTGTGTGGAAGTTTCTTATTTTTAACAAATGTTGTGTTCTTTCCACAAGTTAATTACTCAGTAGAGAGCTTAATCTGCCGAATCAGGGCAAAGTGGATTAGGAAATGAGAGCATTTAATCAAAGTGTTCTCTCAGTCTAATTACACATCCCATTTCCTGACAACACATACTGTTATCTGCCACTGCATTTAAACATCAGCTCCTCTGTTTAGCTACCCCCCCTAAGAGTGAATGATCCCACTGCCTGGATGTGACAAAAATCCATGAAATGTAAACACATCAGTGCCGAAACACATGCACTCAGTGAAATATTATTCTTAACATTGAAATAAATCATTGTATCACTGCAGCATTCAACAGAACACTAATGTAGCCTAACCACACGTCCCAGGCATTATCCAGGCAGTGGGAACTAAAGATTCCTCCTAGCTTTATTGTATCAAAAAGAGGTTGTTGTTTTCCGGGAAGACAGTAAAAATGTACTGGACTCAGAGGTAAAAGACAGCACATAAGTCAGAGGTGTGTTCATACTGAGTGAGGGCCTTCTCCAATTGTGTTACATGTGCCTTTAAAAGCACACATCTGTGCAGCATCACTCAAACACTTTGTGTTGGTTCCTGAACCAAACCCCTTGCTGGTGAGAGGGGGAGACGGGTGGGCGCAGTCTCAGATCAAATATCCATGCTGTGTTTGGATGTGTTCCCTCGTCTCTCTGATAAATAATCATGTGCTCCTGCCTGCCATACAAGCTGAGGCGATACTGGCTCCAAGGTGATGAGCTGAAGCCCTTGATCTGCTGCCTAGCAAGGCAAAAAGTGCCACAAGTATGTGCACAGATCCACGGACCAGTTTTAACTGATATACAACATCAATAGCTCTGTATGTGTCAGTCAATTTGTTATTAGACAAAAGAGCACAGACTGGTTGTCACCTCACGCACCCTGCAGACATGAACCCTATGATGTTACATCATGAACAGGACTTAGCCTAACAACTGCAATGGTAAGTGATTGCAACCAGTCAAGGTGGCTGTGGAAACCTGATCACTGTGCTCAATTCATGTAGTTTGGCTTTCAGTCAGTCTGACAGGTGCTCATTTATGCTCTTCAGATTTGTGGTAAAATAATGGCCTAACAAAGTATAGGATGGTGTGAATCTTTGAATATGATTAAACCACATCCATTGTGCCCTGAAAGCTCAATTTAACAATCCTTTATTCTTTGGACAATTATTGCACTGAACCTTGAGATGAGAAAATATGTATTTTTAATCGGTTCTTTCAGAAATCAAGAGAAAGAATGATTTTAGTGAAAATGTTTTTGGGCTCAGTGTTAGTGTGCTGGTTAATAAGAGGTCTGGGAAAATGCGTGGGTGCAAAGGACGTTATACCATTTTTTGCTATCTAATATAGTGGAAACTATAATACAGTATCATACAAACACACACAAACACTTGACTCTATGTGTGTGTGTTTGTCTGAGAGAGACAGAGAGTGTGTGTGTTTATGAATTAGGGGGCCACCTATACGAGGACATCTGCTGAGCTAATAAACAATAATCTTGACAAATTATCACTGTCCAATCACTCAGGCCGACCTCATGATCACAACACTGAAGAAGCCATCACTGCCCGGGCCAGGGACGTGACTGACAGCTCTCTGGACCGTTGGAAGGTGTTGCTGGACTGAAGCCCAGAGGACACAATGATTCATGGACAGAGGGCAACCTGGACAGAGTGGTTAGGGAAATTAGCAGAGCCACCCACCAACACACCCATGCCCTTCATTGGTCAGAACACCAGCTGACTGAAGAGATGGCCCTCTGCCAGAAACTGCTTAATGCTGCTGGACAAAGATGCCAAACCCAGCAACTATGAAGGCAATGTTGTTTGGCATGGTGATGATGATGATTTACATCGGGCTCAATGGGATACTGCAACCTTTCCTGGGTGCAGTACAAACCATTCCACTCAGATTATAATGGTACAGATGATGCTGAAGGCAATGGTTGAGTGGGATAGTGATGCAATGGACGCTTGTTGGTGTTTTTAATGTGGATAAAATAAAAATGATAGGTTGCCTGTTCCTGTGGCATGTAACCAACTGACAATTGTCAGGGTGTGGACATGGATAAGCAAGCACTGCACGACTTAGACTTGGAGTGTTGACAGACTGGCAGAGTGTAAAGGTCACATGATAGAAAAAACAATCTTCTAGAAAATCAATCCAATATTACGGGATTTTAATTCCTAGTCACTGACACCCTAGAGATGATGAAAAGCTAGACATCTCCAAATTGCCCTGTCAATCACTGTGACCAACAAAAATGACAAAAAATAAGTAAGAGGAGGGAATAGCAGATCCAGGAGGAATCTGACTCAACCGTGTTTGGTGTTCATATCATAATCCCCAACCACCCCTAACAGCACTGGGACACAACATATAAACAAGCTTATAATAAAGTTGAGATATCAAATCTGGCTAAACTCTTTCATCCAAACATCAACAGCAGGGCAATATATCCAGGGCATTCAGGGTTTCTTCTGTGACAGCTCAGCTATACTGTGCATTATAAAGACCAACTATAACTACTAACTGACAAGGAGTATCACTTGCATCCATACACAGACCCTGATAAAGGATATCCATTGCCATCACTGTCAGAGTCTATTATGACATCTCTCTTTTACTTGTTTTTTTTATTTTCAGTTTGAATTCAAGGGATACAGCCAAGAAAACATGTCCGTGCAGTGAAAGGGCCAGTCACACAAACAGCTTGATAATATATGTCAAATACAACATGCTGACAATCCACAGAGACTCACCAATGGGCATGTCTTCATAGATGAGAAGGTAGGTTGAGAAGAAGTAGTTCAGGAAACGTGGTGGCTGGTTGGAGCCTGTGATGAAGAGAAAAAGGATGAACATTCACATTAGAGATTGAAATTATTTATCGCACTTCCTAAATGGTCTTTTGTGCAAATAGGAAATTATGCATTTCAGACTCTCAGCAGTTTACAAAGTTGTGGAACTGTATGGAATTAAAATAATCGCAAAATACCATAAATATAACTGAAAAACCTGGCATCACATTTGTGCATCTCATGCTAGTGCATACATTCTTATTCTACTATTTAATTAATACATTTTACACACTGCTTTGGGGAAAAAAAACACATCTCCCCTACCTCCACAAGGGGGCTGTAGCAAATTCATTGAGTGTATTAAACCATAGGAGTGGTGGATCAGGCAACATTATTAGAAGCTTTCAAAATGTAGAAATGCCAAGTGAAGGAAATTGATAAAGAGAAGCCGATGTGATCATGTTAACTTTCAGTCAGTCTTCAGTCTTCATTACATGTTTCTGAAGTTATCCACCATGTGTTAAGCAGGATTGTTTTTGCAGAGAAGACTTTTACTCGTTCGCCAGTTTGTAGACTGATATCTTTTAATGTTCTGCTCTTCTGTTATTGTTTCTTCTGATCCTACTCTACCAACTGTGTCTCTGTCAAACATACTTCTGCAGCACATCAGTTACAGAGAGACAAAAACACTTTGCTTCAACATCAAAACAGTGTAAAGAGAAGACATCAATTACACACTGAGTATTGTACTGTTGTCAGTTTTATGGATTATTATTTTCAGGCTTTAACTTGAACAAAATGTTTACATGGTCTGTCTGAAGTCATTTATGTGTCAAGAGAGCATGAAAAAATTCTAAAACCATGTTAAATTTTTAGTCTGTGAATAAATACTTTTGTTTTTTGCTTATCATTTTAAATGACACTCTATTTTCATTTTGATCTGCACCAAATTTTCCCAAACTCAAAATAGCTGCCCCTTAAATTTGTCTGATCGTCAGTTGATCCATGAACTATTTTTTTCAAAAATCACTGATCAAAAAACCCACTGACACCTGCAAATGTCTGGCTTTGTCTGCAATGGGAATGGATTCAATCAGCATTCACTCCTGGTTCAAATTACTCTTTAGAAGACACAGGCTTTCATCGGCTCTTGCTCTGATGATCAGTAATGGAAACATGACAACTGGGTGAATGCTTATATGGCAAGAACGTGAAGTGAGACAGCACCTCGGTTGTCTGTGCATTTATGACGTAGAACATGACGCAGTATTGGAAAAAAACCAGGATACTGGCAAATGGGAAAGTGAATTGTGTTTTATTTTAAACTGGGTTTAATAGTGAAAACTGCACATACCTGCTAATTTATTTATAAAGAGGTACATCTTGAAAATAGTGGGTCCGATCCAAATCAGCACCAACATTTAACTATTAGTCCCATACCGCATCATTCCAACAATATTAGTAGTAATCCATTTAGTAGTTTGTGTGTAATCTTGTCAACTAACTAACAAACAAACAGGGGTTAAAACAAACTCCTTGGCGGAGGTAATAGCACTACTTATTACATGAGTTTGTTTTAAGAATGCATGTTCAGGGTTAGGGTAAGTGGCCTGTTAAAGAGTTAATGCTCGTCTGTGTTTGGTGAGTCCTGTGGTGTCAGAAGCGAGTGTGATACAAGCTGTTTTGTTGGAAGATCAGGGAACAAAGCTGACGGTCTTTGATCAGCTGAGCTGGGCAGCAGACCACAGAGACACAGGAGTGAGAGGGGGGGAGGCCAGCCTGTTTGAAGTGAGAGTGCTTGATGAAGTGAATCGGTGCTTTGAAAGAGAAAGCTTTTCATTCAGTCATGTGTCTGTCTGTGCGGAAGAAGATACTCATCTCTGGCTTGCCAGCGCTGCTCTTGTTGGGTGACAAGGACACGGAGTCCGCTTCATGTATTAGGGGTGGTGGAGAGGAGCATGGGAAGAGGCTCTCATCTCCACCTGTGGCTTAATTACTGCATCAGGCTTATATAGAGGAATGCAGATAGATAACAGCTACAAAATAACCACAGCCATGATCATCAATCTAATTTACTGGATCGCCGAGGTAATGCTCAAGAGGAGCACAGGGTCAGTGTGCTAATGGGTTACTTAGAGAAAGAAAGGGAGGGGGCAAACAGAAGGTTTGAGATAAGAGTGGGAGGCGAGAGGGAGGACAACTCAAGAGATAGGAAAGCCTTGATAAAGTTATTGTGCTTGATGGAAAGAGGTTGTGGCATTCACTTAATAACTCTCCCCGCTGCTATAGAGTTGAGTGTGTGTGTGTTTGTGTGTGTGTGTGTGATTGGAGGTGTCTCCTGCCCGTCACCATGAGACAGTTACCGTAGCTTTTACAACATTGAAGCTCTTGCTCTCTCTAGAGCACTCTGAGACATACACAGCAAGGAGGCAAATATTTTTGAGAGGGTTTTAGGCTGAACAATAATGTTAAGACATAATGCAAAACAGTAGGCAATAGAGAGATGCAAACAGGAGAGCAAGAGTAAAGGAATAGAGAGGCAAGAGCAAAAAGAAAATAGACCAAATACAGAGGCTGAAAGAAAAGGCTATAAGAAAATACATGATGTGTAGGTAAGACAGTGAGACAGAAAATCTTTTCAGTGTGTAAATAATGAAGAACTGAAGTGGGAGAGGTACTGAGAAATTCTGCTATCAAATCTTACTATAGCCAGGAAGCTATTCATATTTTATCAAGTCGCTGATAAGTACACTACAAAAACCTTTTTTGTATTTCTCATCCTGAATTTGACTAACAGGTTGTTTTATGGTCAATTGCTGATGCCACAGTGAGGATCTGACAATAACCCTTTTTAATTATTCTGCTTCAGATTCACACCGTTGCACATAGTCACTGCCAGATAAAAAGCAACACTGGCATACATTTTGATTTCATGGTTTTGTTTACTATTATTTAAGGTATTGATGCACATCAAAGTGAGGGCTGGTAATCTCAGTAAAGCTAACAAGAGTAAAAAAGCGAGCTACACAAAAAAATGCAACTGGTAATTCCAGCACCTCCATCAAAGTAAGAGCCACAAAACACATGAACTAGCGCTGGTAACTGCTAAAGGCCGCTGCACACTACAGGATTTTCAACTCATCACCCCAATCATGGGAGACCACAGACATGACAGATTTAATTTTTAATCTTATAATTGTCAGAACGCACACACAATGATCAGGCCAGAACGTAAGACCACTTGCCATAGCAAGACACGATTTCACATGGTGATTCTCCTTCTTCAGGGTATTTAGGTGCACTCCTGAAGTGGATTGTGGAAACTTGCGTGATTGAACGTGATTTCAGAAGGAAAACAAAAATGGAGGAGGATCGAAATCGTGTTTCCATTTTGCAGTGAAAAACAGAAAAAAAAAAAAACTATAGATGAAATCATGGCTGAGACGGTGGAATTGGCTTATATATTTTGCAGCCCAGGCTGGGGGTGAGTTGGAAATGTATTGTTATTTTTAGTCATATCTGTTCAAGTAAGCAACTTCCAGGTTGATGACGCTTCCCGGTCAGCTCACTCTCATTGGCTATTACAGGTTGCTATTGGAGCCTATTTGAGCTAGGAAGGCTCCAACTCAATCGTTAGCATCAAGATTATTTTGTAAACCCCTCACCCTTTAGGATTATTTGGGCAGATAATCAGCACAGACTGACCTCTAGTTGGGAACACCCGCGTGATTGTCAGAAGGGGCAAATCAGGTCCTAAATCGGCCTCTTATGTGCAGCAGCCTTTAGTGGATTTTTCTGTGACTTGCTCATTAACTTCTGGCAATCACTCTGATTCAGTGGTATGTGTCTCCAGCTGAAGACTCATGTCATTTGCAGTGAGAGCACAGGCAGAGATGTCAGTAAGTAACAGACAAGTACACCAGCCAATAATTTCATTTGGTCCAAATTTGGCCTTTTTTCTTCTTTATTCAGAAGACTTAATTGATCGCTATCTGGAAGTGAAGAGAATATAAATGACCAAGGCTTCCTGTAATCTACACTCAGTTTAAATGTATGCTCAGAATCTTTACAGTTGTATAAATCAAGAGTGTAAATTACTTTCTTTCACAATCACCACTTACAAATAAAAAACATACTTTTCTCTCTTTATAGTTGGGAGGACTCACCTTCACAGACAGAGTGGAGAATGAGCAATGGAAGAAGGAATTTGACAAATGTCATCCTGCGGCCTAAATCCACACTCCACGACATCACCTGCACCTGAGGAAACAACAAATACAGAGTACAGTCACAATTATTCGATTTGTTGTTTATCCACATCGCTTTCAGTCTAGCCACAAAACATCAAAAGAGATTTCAGCTCCTTCGGGTAATTATAATGTAAGTAAGCAGGAGATGTGATCGGTATAATTAGATGACAGGAAAAAGATCACTAAACACCATGTTTCAAGCAGGTGTTTTCTGGGTGTGTTTGCTTGAGGGTGGTGTGTTGGGGTGAATGTTAATTCACATCAACATCTCATTTACAGTGCTCATAGTTCAATAACATAATCAAGACGCTGCACTGTTAATTGTCTGGTGAAAAAGAACTATGCAAGAAGGAAAAGTGTAAATGGCCTTTTCATGATGTAATGGTGCAGCTTCACTGGGCCAATTATGAGGTCAGAATTATTATAGGGAACAATCACACTTGGAGCACAATGAAGATTTATATTGCATATTAATTCACAGGTATTTACTGCAAAGACAAACTAGTTAAATGCAGCTTTATCACTGATATCTTAAACTTACAGACATTCTTATAAATATTTCCTCTTCATCTCCCTCTTTCCTCTTAGTCGCTCTTCTGTCACCACTTGTCCCAGCAAGGTGTCATTGGTCAGCCAACCCATTTACTGGCAATTTAATTTTGAATGGTTATGTCTCCTAATCCCCTTTCTCCCCTAAAGACCAATGTGTATCTGCTCATGGTAAACCTGTGCGGAGACAGGTCTGCTTGTCCTTCAGGTATATGTGATGCAACAAAAACTAAATAAAATACAGAAACCCAGTGTGATAGGCAGTGCAATACAATACATTGCTTTGTGTAGCTGCTTGCTGCCCATGTCGCTGTGCTGCGACTGCAGATATACAAAATGTGGTGAATTCAATTCTAACAAAGTATAGTTGAAGTGTTCAGGTGAGTGAGAAAGAGAAGCGAGGTAATGAATAGACTGTCATTGCTTATTGTATATAAATATACATGTGTATGTGTGCATGTGTGTCAGTTTGAATAGGCATATTTGTTTTCATTTGGATTCTTGTTTCCTCAGCATTATTGCATTTCACTTTCTGTAACAATGCAACCTGCGTGGCTATTTCTGCTACTTATTTTTTTTACTCCATTTCCTCCTCATCTCCTTTTCCCCTCTGTCTTTGCTCATACAAATTCATTTTTCTCTCTCGCTGGGCCTTGAAAACTTTTTCTCCACCTTCATGCCCTTTCCTCCCTTCTTGTCCTCTGAAATACACAAGTGGTCCTTTAGTGGATGATATTATGTTGACTCAGTGGAAAGCTCAGACAGAGAGGTGTTGACAACAGACAAAACAGAGTACACTTTTCTACAACTTGGCAGAAATCTATTCCCTTTTCTCTATTATCCTTTTCTGTGTTCCTGAAGTGTTGGACTTGGGTACCCCTGAGAAATTAAAATCAAAATACTGGCATGATCAAACCTATAACTACAACATAGAAAGCTACAAGACCTATAGGTCTTATAAGTGCAAAGTCCGTTCCCTCTTACATGATCTGTGTTGATCAGTCTGGAGGAGGAAGATCAATAAAACCCATCTACACTAAAAGAACAAAAGCACATTTCACTGAAAACTTGTTTTCTCTGTACCTTGTTCATGATTTCTACTGTTCTAAATGAAATCAGACCATCCTCTATGGATTTTAAACAGAGAAGCATTGGTTTTCAAAATGTACTGTTAAAAGATGTGGTACAATCTGATGCTTTTAAATTGAGTGATATATTACTGTTACACACACACGTCTCTACACCATCTCTCATCGAAATGCTAAAGGACACTTGTGAGATGACAGAGCAGTGAATATGAGTGAGGGATACAAGTTATGACGTGTTGAGGTTGAGAGAGCTGAGGCAAACACTTGTAGTCAAACTGCAGCAGCTTTAGGATATCTGCTCTCTCCAGGAGAGGATTCAATAAAAAACATTCTCACAAAAGAGAGCACCACCACAAAGTTACAGATGCACTGTACAATAAACTAGACCAATACGTGGTCAAACCGGTCTGCATCTAGAACCTATTTTTCTGCTTCTAAGTAAACAGCAGCTATGAACAAATTACAAACATGATATTGATAATGTGCTGAATATTTTATAGTAGAATTATTATATACACGTACTCTGTTCTGTATATAATATAGGTTGATTTATTATATGTATAGTCTTTATTTAGATTACACTTTGTCTCTGCTGACGGTTGTTTTTTGGGAGAACAGAGCAATGTTAAGCCAAGTTTGAAGATCAGTGCTTTAAAATTATAAACATGGTAATTTTCCATTTTGACTCTGTGTACTTTGCTAGGATACCTTTGTTTGGCCCAGGTTTTGATTTATCCTCTGCAGGATGAAACTTAAAGAGAAACATGTTATATAATGTATAATCGATATGTCAGTTCCCATTTTGTATTGATCTGTCCAAATTGTGACCATATGTAAAGTTTCCAAAAACACAAGCAAGTTTTCTAAATATAATTCACCTCTGCAGATACTGAAAGTCAGAATCTCAACAAATCAATCTGCATGCCAACAAATGCTTCACGGCTAAGAGGAAAAAATATTTTCTGTGACCTGGTCTGCTAGTTTGCTGTTGCTGTTCTCAGTAGACTATATTCATAATTCCTCTATTGTTATGTTTTAGTACCACTTAAAATGACATTATTGAAAATTGTATTTTAATTAGTTTCTTTTACAGTTTTTACAAGGGTGACTCAGGCTATTGTGTGACCATAAAATGTGGCACATGGTATGTACCACTGCAATCACTTCAGTATCAATGTGGTAAAAGGAGAGTGGAAAAAGTGAGGGCTGGCAATCAAACTCTGTCAAGCACACCAGAAACAATGGACCCGGTCCTGGCTTCTTTGATAGGACTTTACGTGAACTATACTTAAACTGCAGCAAATTTCTCTGATTATTCACTTCATTTTTGACATTTAACATTAAAGTGAAGACATGACAGGCCGGCTCAAATGAAAAGTAAAGAAACTTGTGTGAACACTTTGTAACATGAACAAATGTGGCAAAATACTTTTGCTTGGTAAATATGTATCCATTCATAAAACTCAAATCTAAAATGATGGAACATTTTAATTAAGATTCTTAGATCACAGACTGTGCCTTTAAGAAATAGAGTAGGAATGCTATTGAGCATAAAGCAGACAAATTAAATTAAACTCCTCGAGTTGGAGGTAAGTTAATAATTAGTGCAAAAGCATGATCTCTTAGTCAGACAGGATGAAATGCTCCAATTAATCAGTTATGGATGAGAAGTTAAACTGCTGAGGACAGGGCTGAGCTGTGAGGTGCCTGGTCCTGCTGCAGCACTGTCCCACTCAATTGGATTTACTGTCACCATTTGTCAATCTTGCTTTCTTCAGCTCCTCCTTCACTTTGTCAGGGGACCTTTAAACTAGCACCCTCATCTTACCCACTTCCATTTTATTTGCACGTGCATGGGGAAGGTCCATCGCATTAAGTGCTATACCCAACCAATTAGTCAGGGACTGGAAGTGGGTTATGAAACCCTCCAACAGCGAGTCTACATCTGCACTGACTTTACTTATGCACTGTGCAAACCATATAATATCTATAAGGAAGGGTGACTGCACCTTGTGGCTGGCTGCTGTATAGGTCATAAAACCTGCCTCTTGATGTTAGGAGGTGGGACATGGACCGAACTAAAAGTCATAGTACATGTTAAATACTTTTTTCTCTCAGATGGTATCTGTCATTTACAATTTTTCTTCATCAATTCATCATTTTTATGTTTGTTTGAATGACTTATGTGATGCTATAAAAACAATGTCATAATTGACAGATGACACTGACTCATGAAGTTATGACAGTACCATATGGGCACAAAGAGGAGAGTTATTTTCAAAGCATGCCGCATATTATGGTTCATTTAGCTGGGTGTGAATACAAACAGTGTTACACAGAGTAGAGTGGGGAGAGTCCCAGAGTCACTGCCAATGTTCTTCTCATCCCTCTCACCCACAACATCTTGCACCAGCCTCTCACTCTCCGTGTGCTGCCATTTTCTGTCCGTTTCCCTTTGTTTTTCCACTTGTTTTAGTCATCTCAGTCTCTCTTTCCTGTTCTTGGTTTTATCTGCATTGGCTCATGTCTCTTCCCCTTTCATGAAACTCACAGCTTGGATTGTCCATATATATTTTCTGTGGTCATTTCAAACAGTTCTTCTCTGTACTGAGCTTTGGCACATAATTATGTCTCCAGTGTCATGATGTAAAATGTCAACAGAACAAACACATGTCTTCTATGGGCAATGTATTTGTATTTGTTTAAGCGTGGGTACAAGACAAATTTGACTACACTCGAAGACTAATGTAATAGTAATTTTGTATCTTTAGTCTCTTTGTTTAAAAAGGGTAGGATAGCCTTTGTTTTGGTTACAAGACTTGTGCAGCAGGAATTTCAAAACCCAAACTACGTTGTGAACATTAAATCATATCCAATGTTTACACCTGTAATACTTGTCAACATGCCCTAAATCCAGATTTAAAGTTGGACTATTTTAAGGCTGTAAATGACTCTTAGGAACACATACAGCTCCCACTGGGCAAAGCTTAGGGTGGCTGAGATCCAGGTCTATTTAATGAGTTGTGGTCGTATAGCTTATCTGACAGTAATGTGTGATTAAGGCAGTGTAAAGTAAAGAGTAATATCTGGACCTGCTGTGCTCTCTCCAGAGAGCCTGCCTGCCCACATGGCTGTATCTCCCGGCTTACAGCACTCAATAATATTGATTACATGGCAATTGTGTCTGACTTGCCTTAACCTCAAAGGCACCCTGCTCGGAGTGAGTGGTGGGCCTCAGTCGGCAGCCAAATCTGGATTATCACAGCAAATCAATGGCAGACTTCTGCCAGCCCTCGGTCCTCATGAAAAAGCCATCACTCATTAGCACAGTGATCACAGACAGATTAACAGGCATTTGGCTTTGTCAGGGTGG